GGTAAACATCTACACTATGGGACCTCATTTGCCAGTAAAAATATGATAATTGGTTCTTTACCCTTCTATCTGGCAACATTTGCATAGACCGCAATACCTGCAGGTCCTTGAAGTTGATTGGTCCACACCCGAGACAGCTTTCCTTCGAGCGGTCTATGCAAACATGACTCCTTGTAAAAAGGTGTCAGAGTATGAGAGCTCGGGGTAAACATCTACACTTTTGTTGCCAGATAGAAGGGTAAAGAACCAATTATCATATTTTTACTGGCAAATGAGGTCCCCATAGTGTAGATGTTTACCCCGAGCTCTCATACTCTGATGGTGCATTGTCTTTGAGTTGTGCGCCTTTTGGCGTCTTCTGGTCCAACCCATGTGAGACTAGGCTCGAAGGAAAGCTGTCTCGGGTGTGGACCAATCAACTTCAAGGACAGTGCACATTATCAGAGTTATGTCTTTTGTTTGTATTTATGACTGCAGGTATTGCGGTCTATGCAAACATGACTCCTTGTAAAAAGGTGTCAGTTTTGTTGCCAGATAGAAGGGTAAAGAACCAATTATCATATTTTTACTGGCAAATGAGGTCCCCATAGTGTAAGTATTATAATCGCAATGTGATCGTAATAGAATCACACTGCACATATGTATGCATATTACATACATACATACTATGGTCGTATGTATGTATGTAATATGTATGTCCGTTGGACATGCGAACCGGGGGTCGGATATGCGAACTGGGGGATTAGGATCGGATTAAAATGTTTAGAATAACACTATGGTCGTATTAGAATTACACTGAGCTAGAATGTATGTTATATGTAGATGCACATCGGGAGTCGTAAATGCAACCTGGGAGGTGCGCGTTTTAGATTCGCATCAAAATTATTATAATAACAACGTGGTCCTATTAGAATCACGCTATCGACTGCTGCTGATGTTTGGGTGGCGGCTTCCGATTCGGGCTCAGCTCTTCCTTACTCGCCTGGTTGGTGCCGCGGGACGCAGCGTCTCATCCGACAGGCGTTGCAGCAGCTGGGTGATGGCATCCGTGAGTTTGTCAACTTTCTCTTCAAGTTGAGGCCGTCTCCCTCGTGGTCTACTGCCTCTGGGCGTGCTGTGGGTTGCTCATGGCCGAGTTGGAGCTGCATGTTGAATCGGGTGTAGACGTTATTTTAGCAACATTTAAGTACAGTGTTGTGTTTAGAATGCGTCTAGACAAGGAAGGTGACTTGTCCTACACGGGCAGCCAAAATGATTACAATTTCTGTCATAAAACAGTGTGAGTTCATTCATGAGTAGTATTCGCTGAGCCATGATGACACTAACCTACATACAGTTATGGTTAAACAAAGTAAAATTTAGTCACTTAATTCTCAGTTCAGACATGATCATCGCAATCATTTCCAAAGACGTGTGCGGTCCCGCGAGAGCAGTGCCCGGCTACAAATAGCCGGGCAGCAGAAGCAGCAGAATCAGAAGTAGCAGCGTCGCCCTCGAAATGTGTTGTTGCTGCTGTAGTTGCTTCTTTTGAAGTTATATACGCAGGGAGGTGGTGGTCCGTGATGGGATGACGCCTTTGATTAAAGACTTTGATCAAACGCCCCCGATTAACGCCATTGATTGTCGTATTTGATCAACTCTGACATTGTAAACTCTCACATGTTAAACTCAAACATAAAATATTATATATCATGCTCTCATGCCCTTTGGATTGCACCCGTTGGGTTGCACTCCCTCGTCGAGGAGGCCGCTCTCCTCCTTTTCTACGGTTACATGCTTATTTCTAACATTAACATCATGCTAATCTCTCACACTGTGGTCGTACGTATGGTAAGTGAATATGCGAACCAGGGGTAGGATATGCAGGATAAGAATCGAATTACAATTATTCGAATCCCACTAGTCGTATTAGAATCACACTGTCCACTGTTGGATGAATGTGTCGTATCAATGTAATAGAATAGCTATATACAGCATACACACATGCAAAGAATATGACAATCACACGTTTTTACATATAAACAATACACATGATTTAAAAAAAACTTCTTTTTAAAATACATGTTCAATTTTTTTGAAACTGAGAATGTCGAGGTCCATGTAGGGAGATGGAGTGCAGTGGACACACTGATGACGGCCGCTGGTGTTGCTTCCGAAACGTCGTGATTTAATTTAGTTATTTTCATTTATTATTATTATATTATTATTTTTACCTACGTGACTTTACCGAAAGAAAGCGTCAATTCAAAATTAGAATATCATTCGAAGTATTAGAATCACAATGTGATCGTATTAGAATCACACTCTGCGCATATGAATGTATAGTGTACGTGCAAGCGAACTGTGCTCGTATGTACGAATGTAATATGCATCTATGGGTTTTGGTCATGCGAACCGGTGGTCGGATATGCGAATTGGGGGGTGCAGGATTATGATCGGATTAAAACGATTAGAATAACACTTTGGTAGTATTAAAATAACACTGAGCTAGAATGTATGTTAAATGTAGATGCACATCGGGAGTCGTTAATGCGGCCTGGGTGGTACCAGATTTAGAATCGCATCAAAATTATTAAAATCGCACCATGGTCGTATTAGAATCAAGCTGCCCACTGCTGGTAGAATGTTACATCGCAATGGCACCGAATAGCAATATACAGCATTGATATTGGGCGTGGAGCCTACAAGCGCAACCTTGCGCATTTTGACCTGGTTCTCGACGCCAGTCCCGCGCCCATGGTAGAATCTTCTGCATGTCGGGGCGTCAAGGGTTCGCACCACAGCCTTGAAGGATTAGGCAGGTCCCTGGCTTCTTTTGAAGAATATGACCAGACTACAGGCACCGGATCCTCGCACGTGGCGGATCCTTGAGGCACCCCGGGCCTCAGGGGCTCGGAAACTGTGGGCGCCACAACACATTTCCTTTGGAGTACGGTTTCCGTTGCCGAGTGCCCCACCACGTTGGACACACCAGACTTGGGCTGTACAGGACATGGGGATGAGCTGTCTGGGTGGGGACGGACATAAATACATGGGCACACACTGCAGCCATTTCACCTCTATGACTTCAACAAGACCCCGCCATGGCGGAGCAACTTGGTGGACGTACCCGGTGTCACCTTTGGGCAATACAACCTGTCTACGACCGCCCATGGAAGCACGTGTTCCCGCCGCGGCTTGCGCTCTGGCAGGGAAAGTTCCTCGTTATAAATCGTTTCACAACGATCTGGTCCCGAAACCCGAAGTATAACGGGGATCACCTGTACTCTATAACATGTAAACTGATAACACTATGAACAATAACACTAAACATTCAACGACTTTAATTTTTTTTATAATAGATTCCACCATAAACGGAGTTACGGTATGAGAATGTCATTAGAAGCATTTTAATCGCTCATATGTATGTAAAGTATTCTAGTAACAATATGTTCGTATGCGCATTTTACTGAATATATGTTATGTGCAAATGCGAATCGTTAGTCATAAATGCTAGGCAGGGTTTAAAATGTGCATGTTTTAATCCAGTGTTAACGTTAATCCAGTGTTAGCATTATATTTAAGGACAATATTGTTAATATCAATTCGTCTGGACATGGCACGTGCCTTGTTCGTCTCGATCAACGAAAATTAGTTCAATGTCGGTCATAAAAGATTTCGAGTTCATTCATAAGCAGTGTTCGCTGATCCCCGATGACACAGACCTAAACACACAAACAAAGTATTCTTTATTAAATTAATTATCAGCTCAGACATCTTCATCTCAATCATTTCCAAAGACGTGTGGTATATAATATTTTTTCAGTCACCCCGAGCTCTCTGGTTGATTCTCGAGCCACTCCATTACATCCAGCCATCTCTCGGGATCCAACTGCATGGGATCGAAGGTGGAAACTTCTTCAGGACTCATTGCAGCACCTTGAATTTCAGCTTTTGATTTTAGTTTACTATCATTGTGGACCTTCTGATGCCTGTTCATGGTTGATGACTGTGCAAATGTCTTCCCACACACAGGGCACAGGAATGGCTTCTCACCCGTGTGTGTTCTCTGATGAGTTTGAAGAGTTGATGAGTCTGCAAATGTCTTCCCACACACAGGGCACAGGAATGGCTTCTCGCCCGTATGTGTTCTCTGATGTGCTCGAAGATTTGATGACCGTGCAAATGTCTTCCACACACAGGGCACATGAATGGCTTCTCGCCCGTGTGTGTTCTCTGGTGTCTCTGAAGATCTGATGGCCGTGAAAAGGACTTCCCACACACAGAGCAATTGAATGGCTTCTTGTCTCCGTGTGCGTGGGGCTGTGGAGAGCGTCTCTGCTCCATGTGAGCGTAGCAACAGTAGCGGTGTTATCGAGTCAAAAGTACGCTATCGGCCGTAAGGATGTTTCTGCTAAGAAAAGAACGTCACTCGGTCTAACCGAGACGCAAAAAAATCCCAAAATTTGACGACAAACACGTTTAAGAGTATATCCGCGAAAATAGACACTTACTTGGAGATTCACGTTATATATTGATGTCTAGAACCCGTCTGAAGATGTCGCCACGAACTCTCCCGACGCAAAGTCGCCTAACTATCGACACAGCAATTGTGCTCGCCAGGCTGCGTTGTCTCGCGGTTGAAGGGCGATCAGCAGAGCGACGAGTCGAGCGTCCAACCTCATCAAGTTCCCTCTCGAAATGGCATTGAGCTCTGCTTCTGAGCCGCCTTATAACTCCCCCCCTCGGATCCAATCCTTTGTCTTTCAGGATATTTGCATTCGATTGTTAATTTTGGAAGGCACAATCCGCATGTCTATTAACATACCGAAGGGTAATGTGCCCATTGTGCTTCATGCATGAATATGTAAGTGCATCTCAGTGTGTAATTGTGCGCTTATTTTGAATAAAAACTTTGTCCTCGATTTAAAGTGAATGCAGAGAAATTAGCATGTAACTTTAGAAAAGGAAGAGAGCGGCCTTCTCGACGAGGGAGTGAAACCCAATAGGTAATCTTCTTCCTAGCGTTGTTCCCGCTGTGGCGCAGCGTCCGCTTTTCGGCATTGTCTTCTCCATTTGGCTCGGTCCAGGGCATCTTCAGGGGATGCGTTGACCGTCTTTATGTTTTCCTTTATTCGATCCATCCATCGCTTTTTCGGACGTCCGCGTGGACGGCGGCCCTCTGGCTCAATACGCATGGCAGTCTTGGCCACTGATGACTCTTCACTTCGCATCACATGGCCGTACCACCGAAGCCTTGCCTCAAGCATCTTGTCCGCAATGGGGGCCACACCAAGTCGATTCCGAACGTCTTCGTTCATGACACGATCCCATCGAGTGAGTCCGAGGCTCCATCTGAGCATCCTCATCTCCATGGTGTGGAGAGCTTGTTCGTGTACAGTTGTGGCTGGCCAGCACTCGGATCCATAGAGTGCCACCGGTCGGACGATGGTCTTGTAAATTTTTCCCTTCAGCCTATCCGGCATTTTCCTATCACAGAGGACTCCGGTGACTTGCCTCCACTTCATCCATGCCGCATTGACTCGTGACCTCACATCAGTCGTGATGCTACCATCTGAGCTGATGGTGGCGCCCAGGTACTTAAAGTCCGTCACTTTCTTCACATCTTCTCCGTAAATGCTGATGGTACCGTTGGTTTGGGGGCCACACTCCATATACTCCGTCTTTTTGATGTTGAACCTCATCCCGTTTTCGTCCAAACGTTCTTTCCACAGGCGCGTTTGTCTTTCCACTTCTCCTCTCTCTTCATCTGAGAGGAGGACGTCATCCGCGTAGAGAATTGACCATGGCAGGGGCGTGTGCAGGTCGGCAGTGATCGTGTCCATGCACAGGATAAACAGGAGTGGTGACAGGGCCGATCCTTGGTGCACTCCAACGCTGATGGGAAATGGCGGTGATATGCCCACTGCACACCTGACTGCACTGGTGACGTTCTTGTATAGGAGTTGCACCCAATGCACGTAGGTTTCAGGGACTCCATGGGATCGAAGCGAGTGCCAGATGAGCTCGTGGGGACCCTGTCAAATGCCTTTTCAAGGTCGAGGAACGACACGTGCACAGCTTTGTTCTTCTCTCTGTGCCTCTCCAGCAGGAGCCTCGCCGCGAATATGGCGTCTTTTTTTATTTATTATGTCCTATGTTCAAACATTTCCAGTACAATGCAAACCATTTCCGTTCCAGGAATACCAAAGCGTTAAAGTTTCATTCCCCATGATGTCCTTATTAGTTCACCACATTTGTTCACTGTGCGTCTATGTTGAAGTCAAGGCCATATATCCAACGAACACGTCATCAATGTACATCCGGAAACCGGCTATCTAAAGTCGATTAATACCATTCAAAAAAGCTATATACTTGAAAAAAACTGTTTAAAATGTTGAGTAAAGATGTACCTACAGACGCATTCCAACTTTAGCTCAACAGGAACACTTAACGACTACAATTGAACCCTCTCACAACCAGTGCTCTTCACACCAATTCGGCAAGTAATCCGATAACATAACAAACCACCACTGTGCACGTAATTAAACTCTCAAAAAAACTGTAAAACTAAAATGGTCAAAATTACACACAAAAGTACTCGAAACGGCTTAATAGGTATAACCACATGAAGTAATATTTTTTCAGTCACCCCGAGCTCTCTGTTTGATCCTCGAGCCACTCCATTACATCCAGCCATCTCTCGGGATCCAACTGCATGGGATCGAAGGTGGAAACTTCATCAGGACTCATTGCAGCACCTTGAATTTCAGCTTTTGATTTCAGTTTCCTATCATTGTGGACCTTCTGATGCCTGTTCCTGGTTGATGAGTGTGCAAATTTCTTCCCACACACAGAGCACAGGAATGGCTTCTCGCCCGTGTGTGTTCTCTGATGACTATTAAGAGTTGATAAGTCTGCAAATGCCTTCCCACACACAGGGCACAGGAATGGCTTCTCGCCCGTGTGTGTTCTCTGATGACTATGAAGAGTTGATGAGTCTGCAAATGCCTTCCCACACACAGGGCACAGGAATGGCTTCTCGCCCGTGTGCATTCTCTGATGAGTTTGAAGAGTTGATGACCGTGCAAATGCCTTCCCACACACAGGACACAGGAATGGCTTCTCGCCCGTGTGCGTTCTCTGATGAGTTTGAAGAGTTGATGACCGTGCAAATGCCTTCCCACACACAGGGCACAGGAATGGCTTCTCGCCCGTGTGCGTTCTCTGATGAGTTTGAAGAGTTGACGACCGTGCAAATGCCTTCCCGCACACAGGGCACAGGAATGGCTTCTCGCCCGTGTGTGTTCTCTGGTGTCTCTGAAGACTTGATTGCCGTGCAAATGCCTTCCCACACACAGAGCAATTGAATGGCTTCTTGTCTCCGTGTGCGTGGGGCTGTGGAGAGCGTCTCTGCTCCATGTGAGCTTAGTAACAGCAGCGGTGTTATCGAGTCAAAAGTACGCTATCGGCCGCAAGGATGTTTAGCGTTGAGTTTTGGATTTTGTTAACTGCTAAAACAAGAACGACACTCGCGTCGAACCGAGACGCAAAAAAATCCCGCTAATTTGACGACGAACACATTTAAGAGTTTATCCGCGAAAATAGACACTTACTTGGAGCTTCACGGTAATTCGATGTCTGGAACCCGTCTGAAGATGTCGCCACGAACTCTCCCCACGCAAAGTCGCCTATCTGTCGACACAGCAATTGTGCTCGCCAGGCTGCGTTGTCTCGCGGTTGAAGGGCGATCAGCAGAGCGACGAGTCGAGCGTCCAACCTCATCAAGTTCCCTCTCGAAATGGCATTGAGCTCTGCTTCTGAGCCGCCTTATAACTCCCCCCCTAGGATCCAATCCTTTGTCTTTCAGGATATTTGCATTCGATTGTTAATTTTGGAAGGCACAATCCGCATGTCTATTAACATACCGAAGGGTAATGTGCCCATTGTGCTTCATGCATGCATATGTAAGTGCATCTCAGTGTGTAATTGTGCGCTATTTTGAATAAAAACTTTGTCCTCGATTTAAAGTGAATGCAGAGAAATTAGCATGTAACTTTAGAAAAGGAAGAGAGCGGCCTTCTCGACGAGGGAGTGAAACCCAATAGGTAATCTTCTTCCTAGCGTTGTTCCCGCTGTGGCGCAGGGTCCGCTTTTCGGCATTGTCTTCTCCATTTGGCTCGGTCCAGGGCATCTTCAGGGGATGCGTTGACCGTCTTTATGTCTTCCTTTATTCGATCCATCCATCGCTTCTTCGGACGTCCGCGTGGACGGCGGCCCTCTGGCTCAATACACATGGCAGTCTTGGCCACTGATGACTCTTCACTTCGCATCACATGGCCGTACCACCGAAGCCTTGCCTCAAGCATCTTGTCCGCAATGGGGGCCACACCAAGTCGATTCCGAACGTCTTCGTTCATGACACGATCCCATCGAGTGAGTCCGAGGCTCCATCTGAGCATCCTCATCTCCATGGTGTGGAGAGCTTGTTCGTGTACAGTTGTGGCTGGCCAGCACTCGGATCCATAGAGTGCCACCGGTCGGACGATGGTCTTGTAAATTTTTCCCTTCAGCCTATTCGGCATTTTCCTATCACAGAGGACTCCGGTGACTTGCCTCCACTTCATCCATGCCGCATTGACTCGTGACCTCACATCAGTCGTGATGCTACCATCTGAGCTGATGGTGGAACCCAGGTACTTGAAGTCCGTCACTTTCTTCAGATCTTCTCCGTCAATGCTGATGGTGCCGTCGGTTTGGGGGCCACACTCCATATACTCCGTCTTTTGATGTTGAACCTCATCCCGTTTTCGTCCAAACGTTCTTCCACAGGCGCGTTTGTCTTTCCACTTCTCCTCTCTCTTCATCTGAGAGGAGGACGTCATCCGCGTAGAGAATTGACCATGGCAGGGGCGTGTGCAGGTCGGCAGTGATCGTGTCCATGCACAGGATAAACAGGAGTGGTGACAGGGCCGATCCTTGGTGCACTCCAACGCTGATGGGAAATGGCGGTGATATGCCCACTGCACACCTGACTGCACTGGTGACGTTCTTGTATAGGAGTTGCACCCAATGCACGTAGGTTTCAGGGACTCCATGGGATCGAAGCGAGTGCCAGATGAGGTCGTGGGGGACCCTGTCAAATGCCTTTTCAAGGTCGAGGAACGACACGTGCACAGCTTTGTTCTTCTCTCTGTGCCTCTCCAGCAGGAGCCTCGCCGCGAATATGGCGTCTTTTTTATTTATTATGTCCTATGTTCAAACATTTCCAGTACAATGCAAACCATTTCCGTTCCAGGAATACCAAAGCGTTAAAGTTTCATTCCCCATGATGTCCTTATTAGTTCACCACATTTGTTCACTGTGCGTCTATGTTGAAGTCAAGGCCATATATCCAACGAACACGTCATCAATGTACATCCGGAAACCGGCTATCTAAAGTCGATTAATACCATTCAAAAAAGCTATATACTTGAAAAAAACTGTTTAAAATGTTGAGTAAAGATGTACCTACAGACGCATTCCAACTTTAGCTCAACAGGAACACTTAACGACTACAATTGAACCCTCTCACAACCAGTGCTCTTCCACCAATTCGGCAAGTAATCCGATAACATAACAAACCACCACTGTGCACGTAATTAAACTCTCAAAAAAACTGTAAAACTAAAATGGTCAAAATTACACACAAAAGTACTCGAAACGGCTTAATAGGTATAACCACATGAAGTAATATTTTTTCAGTCACCCCGAGCTCTCTGTTTGATCCTCGAGCCACTCCATTACATCCAGCCATCTCTCGGGATCCAACTGCATGGGATCGAAGGTGGAAACTTCATCAGGACTCATTGCAGCACCTTGAATTTCAGTTTTTGATTTCAGTTTCCTATCATTGTGGACCTTCTGATGCCTGTTCCTGGTTGATGAGTGTGCAAATTTCTTCCCACACACAGAGCACAGGAATGGCTTCTCGCCCGTGTGTGTTCTCTGATGACTATTAAGAGTTGATAAGTCTGCAAATGCCTTCCCACACACAGGGCACAGGAATGGCTTCTCGCCCGTGTGTGTTCTCTGATGACTATGAAGAGTTGATGAGTCTGCAAATGCCTTCCCACACACAGGGCACAGGAATGGCTTCTCGCCCGTGTGCATTCTCTGATGAGTTTGAAGAGTTGATGACCGTGCAAATGCCTTCCCACACACAGGACACAGGAATGGCTTCTCGCCCGTGTGCGTTCTCTGATGAGTTTGAAGAGTTGATGACCGTGCAAATGCCTTCCCACACACAGGGCACAGGAATGGCTTCTCGCCCGTGTGCGTTCTCTGATGAGTTTGAAGAGTTGACGACCGTGCAAATGCCTTCCCGCACACAGGGCACAGGAATGGCTTCTCGCCCGTGTGTGTTCTCTGGTGTCTCTGAAGACTTGATTGCCGTGCAAATGCCTTCCCACACACAGAGCAATTGAATGGCTTCTTGTCTCCGTGTGCGTGGGGCTGTGGAGAGCGTCTCTGCTCCATGTGAGCTTAGTAACAGCAGCGGTGTTATCGAGTCAAAAGTACGCTATCGGCCGCAAGGATGTTTAACACTCGCGTCGAACCGAGACGCAAAAAAATCCCGCTAATTTGACGACGAACACATTTAAGAGTTTATCCGCGAAAATAGATACTTACTTGGAGCTTCACGGTAATTCGATGTCTGGAACCCGTCTGAAGATGTCGCCACGAACTCTCCCGACGCAAAGTCGCCTATCCGTCGACACAGCAATTGTGCTCGCCAGGCTGCGTTGTCTCGCGGTTGAAGGGCGATCAGCAGAGCGACGAGTCGAGCGTCCAACCTCATCAAGTTCCCTCTCGAAATGGCATTGAGCTCTGCTTCTGAGCCGCCTTATAACTCCCCCCCTAGGATCCAATCCTTTGTCTTTCAGGATATTTGCATTCGATTGTTAATTTTGGAAGGCACAATCCGCATGTCTATTAACATACCGAAGGGTAATGTGCCCATTGTGCTTCATGCATGCATATGTAAGTGCATCTCAGTGTGTAATTGTGCGTCTATTTTGAATAAAAACTTTGTCCTCGATTTAAAGTGAATGCAGAGAAATTAGCATGTAACTTTAGAAAAGGAAGAGAGCGGCCTTCTCGACGAGGGAGTGAAACCCAATAGGTAATCTTCTTCCTAGCGTTGTTCCCGCTGTGGCGCAGGGTCCGCTTTTCGGCATTGTCTTCTCCATTTGGCTCGGTCCAGGGCATCTTCAGGGGATGCGTTGACCGTCTTTATGTCTTCCTTTATTCGATCCATCCATCGCTTCTTCGGACGTCCGCGTGGACGGCGGCCCTCTGGCTCAATACGCATGGCAGTCTTGGCCACTGATGACTCTTCACTTCGCATCACATGGCCGTACCACCGAAGCCTTGCCTCAAGCATCTTGTCCGCAATGGGGGCCACACCAAGTCGATTCCGAACGTCTTCGTTCATGACACGATCCCATCGAGTGAGTCCGAGGCTCCATCTGAGCATCCTCATCTCCATGGTGTGGAGAGCTTGTTCGTGTACAGTTGTGGCTGGCCAGCACTCGGATCCATAGAGTGCCACCGGTCGGACGATGGTCTTGTAAATTTTTCCCTTCAGCCTATCCGGCATTTTCCTATCACAGAGGACTCCGGTGACTTGCCTCCACTTCATCCATGCCGCATTGACTCGTGACCTCACATCAGTCGTGATGCTACCATCTGAGCTGATGGTGGAACCCAGGTACTTGAAGTCCGTCACTTTCTTCAGATCTTCTCTGTCAATGCTGATGGTGCCGTCGGTTTGGGGGCCACACTCCATATACTCCGTCTTTTTGATGTTGAACCTCATCCCGTTTTCGTCCAAACGTTCTTCCACAGGCGCGTTTGTCTTTCCACTTCTCCTCTCTCTTCATCTGAGAGGAGGACGTCATCCGCGTAGAGAATTGACCATGGCAGGGGCGTGTGCAGGTCGGCAGTGATCGTGTCCATGCACAGGATAAACAGGAGTGGTGACAGGGCCGATCCTTGGTGCACTCCAACGCTGATGGGAAATGGCGGTGATATGCCCACTGCACACCTGACTGCACTGGTGACGTTCTTGTATAGGAGTTGCACCCAATGCACGTAGGTTTCAGGGACTCCATGGGATCGAAGCGAGTGCCAGATGAGGTCGTGGGGGACCCTGTCAAATGCCTTTTCAAGGTCGAGGAACGACACGTGCACAGCTTTGTTCTTCTCTCTGTGCCTCTCCAGCAGGAGCCTCGCCGCGAATATGGCGTCTTTTTTATTTATTATGTCCTATGTTCAAACATTTCCAGTACAATGCAAACCATTTCCGTTCCAGGAATACCAAAGCGTTAAAGTTTCATTCCCCATGATGTCCTTATTAGTTCACCACATTTGTTCACTGTGCGTCTATGTTGAAGTCAAGGCCATATATCCAACGAACACGTCATCAATGTACATCCGGAAACCGGCTATCTAAAGTCGATTAATACCATTCAAAAAAGCTATATACTTGAAAAAAACTGTTTAAAATGTTGAGTAAAGATGTACCTACAGACGCATTCCAACTTTAGCTCAACAGGAACACTTAACGACTACAATTGAACCCTCTCACAACCAGTGCTCTTCACACCAATTCGGCAAGTAATCCGATAACATAACAAACCACCACTGTGCACGTAATTAAACTCTCAAAAAAACTGTAAAACTAAAATGGTCAAAATTACACACAAAAGTACTCGAAACGGCTTAATAGGTATAACCACATGAAGTAATATTTTTTCAGTCACCCCGAGCTCTCTGTTTGATCCTCGAGCCACTCCATTACATCCAGCCATCTCTCGGGATCCAACTGCATGGGATCGAAGGTGGAAACTTCATCAGGACTCATTGCAGCACCTTGAATTTCAGTTTTTGATTTCAGTTTCCTATCATTGTGGACCTTCTGATGCCTGTTCCTGGTTGATGAGTGTGCAAATTTCTTCCCACACACAGAGCACAGGAATGGCTTCTCGCCCGTGTGTGTTCTCTGATGACTATTAAGAGTTGATAAGTCTGCAAATGCCTTCCCACACACAGGGCACAGGAATGGCTTCTCGCCCGTGTGTGTTCTCTGATGACTATGAAGAGTTGATGAGTCTGCAAATGCCTTCCCACACACAGGGCACAGGAATGGCTTCTCGCCCGTGTGCATTCTCTGATGAGTTTGAAGAGTTGATGACCGTGCAAATGCCTTCCCACACACAGGACACAGGAATGGCTTCTCGCCCGTGTGCGTTCTCTGATGAGTTTGAAGAGTTGATGACCGTGCAAATGCCTTCCCACACACAGGGCACAGGAATGGCTTCTCGCCAGTGTGCGTTCTCTGATGAGTTTGAAGAGTTGACGACCGTGCAAATGCCTTCCCGCACACAGGGCACAGGAATGGCTTCTCGCCCGTGTGTGTTCTCTGGTGTCTCTGAAGACTTGATTGCCGTGCAAATGCCTTCCCACACACAGAGCAATTGAATGGCTTCTTGTCTCCGTGTGCGTGGGGCTGTGGAGAGCGTCTCTGCTCCATGTGAGCTTAGTAACAGCAGCGGTGTTATCGAGTCAAAAGTACGCTATCGGCCGCAAGGATGTTTAACACTCGCGTCGAACCGAGACGCAAAAAAATCCCGCTAATTTGACGACGAACACATTTAAGAGTTTATCCGCGAAAATAGACACTTACTTGGAGCTTCACGGTAATTCGATGTCTGGAACCCGTCTGAAGATGTCGCCACGAACTCTCCCGACGCAAAGTCGCCTATCTGTCGACACAGCAATTGTGCTCGCCAGGCTGCGTTGTCTCGCGGTTGAAGGGCGATCAGCAGAGCGACGAGTCGAGCGTCCAACCTCATCAAGTTCCCTCTCGAAATGGCATTGAGCTCTGCTTCTGAGCCGCCTTATAACTCCCCCCCTAGGATCCAATCCTTTGTCTTTCAGGATATTTGCATTCGATTGTTAATTTTGGAAGGCACAATCCGCATGTCTATTAACATACCGAAGGGTAATGTGCCCATTGTGCTTCATGCATGCATATGTAAGTGCATCTCAGTGTGTAATTGTGCGTCTATTTTGAATAAAAACTTTGTCCTCGATTTCAAGTGAATGCAGAGAAATTAGCATGTAACTTTAGAAAAGGAAGAGAGCGGCCTTCTCGACGAGGGAGT